GTTGCTATGATGTTGTTTGGCACAACATTCGAAGGAGCAGCAGATTTCTGAATAGTGTCTATGACACAAATTCTGCTGACTTTGCTTTGAACAAGATTTTCGATCCTCCTGCTACTTATTATCCCAGTTACATTATAAAAATAGCCAATTTCACAACGGAGCTACTTTAGGTTAAGTAGAGCCTGTGCAACTCCAGTAATTTGAAACTCCTGCTGTTTGAGCTCTGATGGTTTTAATGCCACACATACTACAAGCCACTTGAAAAAAGCAAGCTACTTGTAACGAGCAAGGTCAGAAATTAGCGAATTTGTGCTTTAACTTATAGCAAGTGAAACCATCCATTATTAATTAGTTATGTAGAGCAGAGAGACAGAAAAAATTTGGTTTCAAATGAGCAAGAGTGAGAGAGATAGAGCATACAGAAAAGGAAGCTAGAAAAAAAATCTGAAAAATAGAAATTATGTAAAGTGTTCTTAGCTCATTCAAACATTAAAAATTGGCAACCACAACCAACAAAGCAAGCTATGTGAAAGAACATTTCATATGATGTATTTATATTTTCATTACACGTTTTGTTAGTGAGTTGAATCATGGAGAGTGGCTGGAAACAATATTCCATCTCTCATTTAAACTTTATTTGTTGTTGTTTCTCTTGGTAGTGCAAGCATAGGCAGTGGAGAGAAGCCTCATTCTAAGAAACACGACTCATATCTGTCTGTTCCAACATAGAGATCTTTGACCACTTGCACAAGTTCTTCAGGGGAAATAGCTGCATTTAGCATAAGTAGGTAAATTAAGGGTCTCAAATGTATCAAATTTCTCTTGCTGAAAATGAAAATGATTTTCTGGAGTCAGGCAAGTATATAACTTATGATCAATTTTCCCAAAGACCTTGGCCTTAGTACAGGGGCAATACGTCTGGGTGCCATCAGCTTGCATGAGCAAATCAGGGAAGGAATGGAATGGAAGGGTCGGGGTCTGAGTTTGTTTACTAGCATTCTATGGGGTTTATTAGAGAATTCATAACATTTTTGTTTAGCCCATAACAAGGATTTTGGAATTTTACTCATTGCCAGGGATTTAAGCTGGTTACGGGGGAGATAACTTTATGGAGGCGGGCCACCATGGGGGAGCACAAAAGAAGTTTATCTAAAACAAATAAATTACTGATTAGAGAGGCTATTATTTTCTTTCTTCAAACGGGAGCCATCAAAAATGCATTTTTGCACCTCCCACAAGGTGGACATTTCCTGCTTTCTACATTAAGCTCAGATAACTCCATCAATTACTTGATTACCTTTTCTCTAGTAACTGATGATTGAAAGAGAAAGTCATTAAGGTGCCAATGACAAGTTTTAGAAGCTGTAGTGGACAGGGTAATATCTAAAGTAATGGGGGAGTGGTCAGACCAAGAAATGGAGACAATTTTAGAGAGTATGGTGTACTCCAGTAAGGGAGCAGAAATAAAAAAATTATCCATCCTTTAGAACATTTTACGGGGGGCAGAATAACATGTAAACTGCCTGTGGGTAGGGTTTTTAATTCTCCAGGAGTCAAATAAGTTCTGAGCTCTAATACATTTATGAAAGGAAGTGGTCTGAGAGAGCAAAGGATCTGCAACTTTTCATCCAGCATCTCAAGGGTTGACTCTGACTGGGTGGCAGGCAAGGATTCAGCCTCCAAAGCATGCATGGTGGTCCTTGTGCCCAGGAGAGGGTCCGCAGATTAAAATATGGGTCCAGCTGTGTAATCCGGGAATTGTAGCCTAGACAGAAAGTGGTCCATGTCCGTCTGGGTCCGCAGCTCCTGTGACAGTGGGGAAGAGCTTTTCTGCTTATCAAATTTGACCATGGGATGCTCATGGATGGTGTGCAGGTAAGATGCTTATCCCCATTGCTTTGTAGATGGTGAGAAGCTGAGTGCGGTCAAAAAAGAGCAGACAGGACTGGAGCTCAGGAACTGAGCATCAACCATAGCTGAGACCCGAGCATGCACCCAGCACATTTTTTTTTTATATACTGTTTGGTGGGATACTGCCTTGTAATAAGCCTTAAAGTGAAATATATTATATAAAAATACACAATTGTGTAAAAAAGACACAATTCCTTTAAATAACATAGTTGTGGGATCTATTAAACAAGCCTGTGAAGTGTATTAAAAGTGGAATTTAGAAAACAAAATACAATTTGCTTTTAACTGACATTTCCTGATTAGGTAGTTGTGAATGCTACACTTGATTTCTATGACTAGTCTGCAAGCAGCCTTAACAGATCTAAAATCTATAAGAAATGTACTCTTCAAAAAAATAAAGCTTATACTATACCCTCAACTTTGTACAAACTGTCCAGAAGTAAAACAAAAAAGTGATAATATACAGTATTTAGTGAGCTTCCTATTTTTCACACTAACACACTGCATTTTTTTAAGGCTCTATTTCCTTTATATTCATGGGAGATCCTGCCAGTAATATACCTCCTGTCCTGGGGTGCTCACTGACGATACTGTATCTATGAAAGATCAGCATTGTGACCTTAGTACAGGATCAATAGTAGTGCTACCCTCTCCTTGGCTCCTTAACATGTAGGTATGATTTCTGTTCTTAACAGCGGTAACCTTCACAGGAAGATAAGACCACTTTACATAACTTTGCAGAGTACAAAGGATATAATATAGCACTTGATTTCTATCATGAAGAAAAGTTATTCTTTTGTAATTATTGAATAACATACATCTATATATTTATAGGTTGAATAAAATGTTTTCAAAGCTATATTTCACAGACTAAAAGAAAGCAAATAAGAGACGTTCATTGTTTGGGTTTCCATGTATAACCATTACATCAGTGATTGATTTCCTAAAGGAGTAGGAAATGTTCACCATGACTACAGTGAAGATACCCCACTTGTATAAGGAAAATTAAGATTTTGTTATGCACATAGGATAGTATGACTAAAATTAACACTGCTTTAGTTTATTTATAAAGTTAAGTGTACAATATTACTTTAATAAATTAACCCTAGACTAGGTTTGATATATCTAACCCCTTCAACTCACACACCTATGCACCAGCACATTATTTACTTCTCTGATGTGAGCCTCTATATTGTGCAATAACTTTTTAATTACTTAAGACAGCAAAGTGGTATTTAGCTAGGGACACTTATGTTTTTGTATGTTTTTGTCTTGCAAAACATATTGTATGGAATCCATAGACAAAAGTATAACAAAACTATAAAAAGTCAGGGGTATATGAGGAAGCCATGTGACCCTGTGGCGTAACATGTAGGGGAGGGGCTGATGGCTTCACAATGCTCACTACACGGATTGATTTGGTATCTCAGCAGATGAGTGGAGGATGGTACATGTACACTTATGCTGATTACACTGCATTTACATGTGTATTATATCTGGTGCGATGAGCACCTACAAAATGTGAGTGGCCACTATTAAAGCTTTTAATAAAATTAAGTTGTTTTAAGGGTAAAGCACTATTGTGTTCCCTATCTTTTATATCATATATGTGGAGTGGAGGAGGAGATATTTTAGGAAGTGGTGATTTCTGGAGGAAGATCCTGCAGTGTGGAGACATGCACCTTTATATGTTGTGATAGGATGAACGGCGAGGTGATAGAGGGACGCTATGTGTCACCTCGCATATGCTCATACCTGACTGTTTAGGTGGAGTCCACTCCGGGTTTTCGGGGCCACAGTTAAGCAGGTGGTTCCGGACCAGAGTTTGGACTCCACTGATCTCCACCAACAGGTGATATAAAAAGGGCAGGGCTGGAGCAAGGAGTTGCTCGTGGCCTGGGACTCAGAGAGGTATTCTGAGAGAGCTGTGTCTATGGACTATACCTGCAAGAAAAGGTTTGCTGTTATTTTGTTTTGGTGACAGGGAGAAGCCCTTCACCTCTGAGAGAGGAATCATCTGCTGTTTAGTTAGTGCCTGGATGGCAAGGGTTTATTTTGATGTTTTGTTTATTTTGATATTTTCTTGCAAACCTTTTTAATAAAAACTGACATCTAGTCAGATTTTGACGAAAGCCTGCTGTGCGGTCTACCTTTGTCCCAGGGAAGGAGATCCCCCACCTGAGCTAACCCCACAATGTCTAATTCTTTCGACGCATGCATTTTTTGATCTGATGTGAGGTCAGAAACTCCAGCTGAGGGCACATATGGTGGTTGTTTGATGGAGGAATTAATTTATATGACAGAAGGTTTATCCAAGTTGGAGAGATTGCTGATTTAAGTGGAAGAAATTTCGAGAGACTTTGCATTGACACATGTTCACTTTAATGCCTGTTCACAATAGTTGATATATGCTTATTATATTTTTAGAATTGGTTTATGTGAATAAAGAAGCGCTGCACTGCATATTTACATTCTATTTTTATGCACGTTATGAGTATGCAAGTAGTGTAAGCAGTTTTCACCAGTTTAGAGGGGATTAACCACAGGGCACTTATACCCCCTTCCTGCTCAGGCCAATTTCCATCTTTCAGCGCTGCCACACTTTGAATGACAATTGTGCGGTCATGCAACACTGTACCCATATGAAATTTTTATAATTTTTTTTGACAGATAGAGCTTTATTTTGGTGGTATTTAATCACCTCTGGGTTTTTTATTTTTTCTTAAACAAACCAAAAACCACTGAAAAGTTTGAAAAAAAATTTTTTTTCTTAGTTTATGTTATAAAATTTTGTAAATAAGTGATTTTTCTCTTTCACTGATGTGCGCTAATGAGGCTGCACTGGTGGGCACTGATAGGCTGCACTGATGCACACTGATAGGTGGCACTGATGGGCACTGATGAGGAGGCACTGGTAGGTGGCACTGATGGGCATTGACAGGCATCACTGATGGGCACTGAAAGGCAGCACTCATATATGGCACTGATAGGCAGCACTGATAGGCAGCACTGACTGGCACTGATAGGTGGCACTGACTGGCACTGTTAGGTGACACTGACTGGCACTGTTAGGCAGCACTGATAGGCAGCACTGGTGGGCACTGATAGGCAGCACTGATGTACACTGATAGGTGGCACGGACTGGCACTGAAAGGCGGCACTGACTGGCACTGATAGGTGGCACTGATTGGCAGCACTGATAGGTGGCACTGACTGGCATTGATAGGTGGCACTGACTGACACCGATGGGTGACACTGAATGGCAGCTCAGATCGGCACTGATATGTGGTATTGATGTGGCACTGATGGGCACTGAAATGTGGCACTGATGTGGCACTGATGGGCACTGGCAGGTGGCATGGATGAGCACTGAGAGCTGGCACTGAGAGGTGGTGCTGCTGGGGCTACACAGATCATCAGGGCACACTGATCATCACATGTACATGTCCCCTCCGAGGAATGCCGATTATCGGCTCTCCTCTGCTCACGAGCTGTCAGCGTGACAGCTCATGGGGAGAGAAATGCCAATAACCAGCATTTCCCTGTTTACATGTGATCAGCTGTGATTGGACACAGCTGATCACATGACCGAGCCGACATCTTCAGCTCTTTCCGTGGATCGGTGATCCTCTGTGTCCGAGGGACACAGCGCACTGCCGATCGCCCCGCTGAGCGCTCCGGTAGCCGAGCATGCGTGGTTACAACGGGAGGACATCATATGACATCCTCCCAGAATGAGAGAACTGCCTTGCGCCTGTCATATTACTATATGGCAGGTGGGAGGCGGTTAAGTATACACGGTATTGCTCGTGAGAAACAGAATATTTTTTCTTCTGCCCTGCTGTCACACTTTTTATCTTCTATCCTGGCTCTAAAAATTAAAGCTGGGCGTCACAGTGTAAATACTACAGCTCTAGAAACTGCTGCTTTCAAACAAGTACTGTCTGACAGTGTTTATTAACATTGACTGTGAGTCACAGTTGATTCAAGCACCAAAAATAAGTCTTTGGGGCTCTCAAGGGGATGGGAGGGGGGGAGAGGGAGGGGTTGGGAAGGAGTAGGTAGGAGGGAGGGGAAGAAAAGAAGGGAAAAAAGGGAAGGTCTTCTTGTTCTAAAATTTTGATTACCTCTACCCCTACAAAGGATACATAAAGGAAAACAGTTAAATGGGAGGAAGGAATATGATTAACTTTATGATATATAACGTTAAAGGACTGGTTAAATATTCCAACAAATAGATATAAGGTTTAAAGGGAAATATACCAACGATCTATTGAAGTGGTGTTTCTTCAAGAGACACATATATCCCATGATTCAAATATTAAGCTATATTCTAGATTTTTACTATCCTGGTATTATGTGAACGCTCCAATAAGACAGGCAAAGGGTCTAGCGATAGGGTTTGGAAAAAACATAAACTTTACTTTGGATGAAAAGCTGGTAGATCCAGCAGGCCAATATTTATTTTTAAGCGGAAGCTTGCAGGCAAGAAAGTGTGCATTAGCAAATATTTATTGTCCTAATAAATACCTGACGAGATATTTGGAGGGTTGAACACCCAAAGGGAAAAGACTATACCTTCTTCTCTGCGGCGCATAGGATGTATTCAAGACTGGACTATATGTTGATTAAATATAGACTCTTGGGGGTTCATTTACTAAAGCTGGAGAGTGCAAAATCAGGCTCACTTCTGCATAGAAGCCAATCAGCTTCCAGGTTTTATTTTTAAAGCTTCATTAAACAAGCTGAGGTTAGAAGCTGATTGGTTTCTATGCAGAAGTGAGCCTGATTTTGCACTCTCCAGCTTTAGTAAATAAACCCCTTGGAGTCTTTGGTGAAAATTAACATAGAAGTAATATCTATATCGAACCATGCCCCTGTCACAATGAGACTACAGTTTGGAAGGGAACAGAACAAAATAAATATGTGGTGATTAAACAAGACCATTTTACAACACCCGGAAGTGGAAACAAGAGTAAAGCAGGAAATAGATAAATATTTTAAGTTAAATGAATCCAAGGAGGTTTCTATCACCACAGTATGGGAAGCACATAAAGCTTATATTAGGAGTATATTGATTGCAGTAGGGGCAGAGATAAAGAAAAAATGGGGAAACAGAATTGGGATATTAGTGGAAGAACTACATCAGTTGGAACAATTACACGAAAAGAAAATAAACATAGAGTTACAACAAGAGATAATATTAAAAAGAGAGGAGTTAACATATTTTATGGAACAAGAAACAAGGAAGATATTTAATGGGGTTTTGAAGGAAAGATATCGGTAGGGGAATGAACCAGGGAAATACCTAATGAAGAAGTTGAAAGAAAAGAAATCAAGGAACTTTAGAGATAAAATAAAAAATGAAAAAGGTGAAATGGTTTATTCAACCAATGACATTGCTAACACATTCCAGAGATACTATAGCTGTCTATATATGGAGCAGAAGGTAAGAACCAGAAGGAATCAGAAGATGAAGAGGAGGCAGACTTATCTGAATGAGGCCGCTTTACCTAGATTGGACAAAGCCAGATTAACAGCTCTAAACAGCTTAATATCAATAGAAGAAGTCAACTTAGCATTAAAGAGTACAGCTGTAGGAAAGAGTCCTGGACCTGATGGATTTACCATGGGATAATATAAGAAGTTTAAAGAACATCTAGTCCTCAATCTGTTTATTTGTATGAACGCACTGGGAGAGGAGACAAAGATGAGGGAGGAATCATTACAGGCATATATCACAGTAATACCCAAGGAGGGGAAAGATTGGTCTCAATGTACCAGCTACAGACCTATATCTTTGTTGAATACTGATACAAAACGGTATGCAAAGGTATTAGCTACAAGGAAGAAAGAGTTAATGTCTGACTGGATACACTTGGACCAAGTGGGATTTATCCTGGGCAGAGAGGGAATGGATAATGGCTTAAGAACATTGCTTATCCTGCAAAAGAATGAAGAAGGAGAGGTACCGGGAATTATTCTGTCAGTTGACACTGAAAAGGCCTTTGACAGAGTAGAGTGGGGATTTATGATTGACACGTTGAGAACATTAGGAATTGGGCCTAAAATGATGCAGTGGATAAAAGAGTTAAATAGGCTTCATTCAGCTGCAGTGAAGGTAAATGGTTCACTATCAAAATTTTTTAGGATGTATAATTGAACCAGACAGGGATGTCCTTTTTCTTCATTGCTGTTTGGCATCTCCTTAGAACCGCTATTAGCAAATGTAAGAAATAGTGTAGATGTCAAGGGAATGTGGATAGGGGACACTGAATATAAAGTGGCAGCATATGCAGACGATATGCTGTTTTATATCGCAAACCTCACATTAACAATACTGAACTTAATGAGAAAATTGAAAGAATATGAGAGTTATTCAATTTGAAAATTAATCCCTCAAAAAGTGAGATTTTAAGTATAAATGTTTCAAAGGCTGAGAAACAAATTTCACAAAAAGAATTCCCCTTTGCATGGAGAGAAAAAGAACTAAAGTACTTGGGAATAACATTAACATTGCCTATAAAAAAAATCTATATCAGGCAAATTATATCCCATTACTAAATGAAATAAAGGATTAATTGAGGAAAGTTTACATGGGAAAGCTGTCTTGGATAAGTCCAGTACTTGTATTGGGGGTTTTTTTTTTAGGTTTCTCAAAAAATGACACTTAGATTTGTGTGGACCAACAAAAACAAAGAGTCAAATATGAAGTTTTGTGCAGTAACGAAAAAAAAGAGGGATTAAATATGCCAGATTTTAGGAGGTATTACGGTACTACTAGCACGAATTGTAGATTGGATATATAACGGGAGAAGTTGGGTAAAAATGGAAAGTTCACTTAGTAAGGCACCACTAAATAAGTTTATCTGGATACCACAGGAATTTTGCACTTGTAATGAGGATATAAGCACTTTGACACGGAATGTATTTAGGATTTGGGATGAAATGCACAAGCAGAAGGGTTGGCTTGTTGAAAAGATATTGTGGATAAAGGGGTTTTATGTTCTTTACATGATTTGGAGAAGAAGGAAATATTTTCTACACTGGATGAGTGACAGTATGGTCAAATAAGACATTTTGTTGCAAAGCTCCCACAACCACTAAGGATCGAGGAAGACATGTATCCTTTAGAGCAACTGCTGAGTACAAACAGAACACAGAAACACATTACCTCTAGGATTTATAGAATCCTCACAGAAATAGAGGGACCAGTATCCCAAAGATTTTTGGAGAAGTCGGAAATGGAGCTTGGAACAAAATTTAATGAGAAAAAAAAAATAAAATGTTTAGTTTAATACATGGGGTGGTGAATATGAACATAGTTGAAATTAATTATCAATGTCTAGTAAAATAGTATATTACACCCAATGTGATGCATAAACTAAGGCCAGAGGTCTCATCCCAGTGTTGGAGGGGATGCGGGAGTAAGGGCACAATACAACATATCTGGTGGGACTGTGCCAAAATACAGGAGTTTTGGAGGGAGATAAGGCAATATATACAAGAGATCCAGAAGATTAGTGTACCAATAGACCCGCGGGTTTGCCTATTTTATACATCAGAGCTTTCTGTGAAGCATTTATAAAAATATGATATTATTCCATCTTTTAAATGCAGCCAAAAGCCGTATTCCTAAATATTAGCAAACACCAGAGTCCCCAAAAATAAAAGATTAGATGGTTAGAGTTGAGTATATACATAGAATGGAAGAATTATATCAAATACAGTAGATGAGGATAAAATGGAAAAAAATTAAGAATGCCTGGGAAGGATGGTAAAACTTTAACAAATCAAAAAGATTTTTAGAAGTGGTTGGAGTGTAGGGGAAAAAAAGAAAATAAACAAGAGTTTGGAAATAATAGGAAAGAAAGAGGAAAAAGATAAGGAGGGGAAACAGTAAGACAGATTAACAAACGAAGAACAAGAAGTAAATGGAAGGACCAAGAAGAAAAGGGGGGGGGGGGGCTGGGGGAGGTGGGGTAAATATGGGGATGGGTAATGTAATTAAGTATGGATTTTGTATTGCATGATGTTGATTTAAAATGGATTTAGATTATAAAAATTAATAAAGATTAAATTAAAAAAAAGAAACTGCAAACCTCAAATTACACAACCTTGTAATGTTGGGTACTCAAAGCAAATGCCACAAATAGTGCTGTGCCAGTATCAGATGCAAAGTCATCAGCATGTGAAATGAATGTGCTTTACATGTTTACCTTGAAGACAGTGTCACATAAGGCAGGGGTCTCCAAACTATGGCCCTCCAGGTGTTGAGGAATTTCAAGTCCCATGAGGCCTTGCAAGACTCTGAGAGTCACAGGCAAGACTCCCAGAGGCAGAGGCATGATGGGAGTTGTAGTATTTTGACAGTTGGAGGGCCGTAGTTTGGAGACCCCTGACATAAGGTTTAAGAAACTGACATTTTGGACCTTTTCTGGGTCTCTTTCTCAAGGCAAAATATTGGCAATAAACATATGCATTAAACACATATATAAATATATAGCCTGGTGCAA